TGTATTCAGGCTCGTTTCTCGATGGACGCAAAACGTGCCTTTTGTATTCTGCTAACCTTGTGCGCAGTCCTTTCGCCGGTTTGCCTATGTGCACGTACGCACAGTCTGCAAATAACTTTGTGGACGCATTTATTCATTATGTCTCTCCGAATTGTCTCCTACAAGCACACCATTGCTGAACGGAGCGTTTAACCACTTCGGAAAACCACTCTTATCTTCTTGTTTATATCGTATTCCAGCCATTCCAATTCACTCCATCGTAAATACGTGTTTATTGCCCCCCCTGTAATTGACGCCTGTTTAACCACCTCGGATGTTTGCCATCTACTCATTTGTTTGTTGCCTCCTAGCGGGCTACCGTTCTGTCCTCTTCCTCTGTGCAGAGTTTTGGCCTCGTGAAACAGAGTGGGTGCAATCGCAGCGTATGCGTGTTTTGAATGACCCGAACTATATTGGAGTACTTTATCCATATGTGTTTGGTTGTGATATACTGTTTTTTAGCCGTGCTCCATGCCGTTGCACTAGGCATTCAGGGACTAACAGTTTACCACTGCAAGATTCTAATTCTATATTGGTATTTACGTTACCATTAACGGAATGCAATAGTTTATGAACTTCTTATCCTGCTTAATGATAACACATATCATCTGCAACGTGCCACCAAATCTTAGGAGGACTACTGGAGGTTGTCAACATCTTCCTTTCAAAGTCTTCCATACAAAGATTTGCCTATACAAGGATATTGGCGACCTTATAGCAAGGCTCTTTTCCTGGTTTGCAATTTGAAATATGACCTACTAAGATGTGCTTTCCTTCCTTCGACCGTATGGTTTGATGGAGATTTCGTTCTTTCTCCTAGACTACTATCCTCAGTCAGACAGCGCTGCGTTACCGTCAATGCGTCACCCTTGGGCACGTTAGTGAATAGTGAGCTAACGTCGAAGCTAAGTATTATTTCATCTCACTTGATGGTCAGATCTGCGACCTTTCGCTCGAATTCATGAGAGTTCTTATGAACCTATTTGTTTTCAACAAACCTGTCGGATAACTGGCTAGCTCGTGGGTCGGAGAATCGATACCATCCGCAATGGGCCGAATAGAAAAGTCGGGCTAATGTAGCTTCAGTAGCCCATAGATCCTTGGAGAATCGGTTGATTTCGGGAAGATATTTTACCATTTGCCTGCCCAAGACAGTCTTCCCACTCCTCAGGTAGTTACCAATTTTATTTTATTCGTACAGCTGAAAAGCGATTAAGAGCTTGATCGCGTTTCGGACTTCAGCGTCCGATGGAGCCTGTAAACTAATAAGCCATGGCTTAACCTGGATCATCTGAGTGGGAAGGGTTTCGGAAGCACACGACCAACTGAACTGATCTCGAAAGTGTTCCTTATTATGAATCAGGACACCCTCGCTGTCTCTGATTGTCTCAGCGACAGCCGGTTCCTTGGCACCACTGGTGTGAATCATTTGGAATAGCTTGAGCCGCACTAATTTGCTAGGCTTCCTTCTCAACACGTCGGCCCCTCATCAGTTCGCACCGTGCTCAGAGCCAGCCGAGAGTTTTCTACTGGATTCCAACAGGTTTACAGATCTTTCGGATTTGCAGTGACTGGTACGGTGACAATTGGTAGTACCGCAAACAGAGGCTTCTGCGACCTGCATGGCAGTCGGGATCCTATTCCACTGAAACCCAATGTCGTTAAGACGAGAGCGAGAGTGCGATACGCAATGCATCCTGCTTGGCTTGGTTGACCTAGAGTTTAGATAACTTCTCAGTCGCCAATCGAGTGGGCGCTTGATATGTTTGTCGATGAAGTTCCCGGAAAAACCACAGCGTACCAAGGCATGACCTTAGTCGACGCACATATTTCAGAGCGAGCGGCAATCCAGGATGGAACCACGCTACCTGTAATTGTTGACAACGTGATCTATTTGGGTACATCGCTGGCCAGCTATAAATGAATTCAAAGTGGCACTTCGGCGTCCACTGTGTCTAAAAGCGTTGCTACTAAAATACAGCCGGTGCTACGCGCACCAGTTTCAAGAGACGCTGGCCGTTACCCGTGCGGTCGGAGTTACTCCCATACTTACCACCTAGCTGAGCTTCTGAAGAGTTCAGACGACCTACTTGCGCATTCACATCTTCCGCAATAAGAACGATAACTGAACTGGTAACACTGCTTAACAGTCTGGGCAGTTCGTGGTAGTAGGTATCCTTGATAGCATAAGGGCTGCAGTCGGTGGAGGCATAACCGGAAACCACCAACAAACAGCGTCTGAAGCTCATTCGTGAATCGACCTTAGTTGAAGTCGTCAGACGAGCTACACACAAACGAGTGCTCACGGGAATCCGATCAAACAATATTGACTCGGCCCTGGAGCTAAGAATGATGCCCACCCTAGCTTGATCAGTGATTGCCGCATCAGCCTCCCCGTATGCTTGCAACCAATGGCGAGAGCAAATGCCGGGCGCCATTTATTCAATAACTCCGTGGGCATCATTGTTCTTAGTATGGAACACACGACACACGTCAGTACCCAGTGTGGCCAACGTGTGTGCAAGTGTAGCCTGTTGATCTATTTGTCTTAGAATGCGAACGATGAACACCACAAGGAAACGGGACAGTGTGTCCTTATAAGAGGCTGTTGCCGACAGGCGTTCATTGGGTGGTGCGGGAAGATATCTGTAGATGGTATGACTCCAGTGACATTGCGGCTGCTCCTGACTTTAGGTGATTATATTTATCTTTTTCCAGCTTTCCGTTTCGTTGACTTAGCATTGCTTTGTTTTGAAGTCTTTCGTAATCTGTGGGCGTCACAACGGTTTTTTGCAGCTTCAAGGTCAGCGGATTAGCGCGAAGGCTGGTTTCGTTCTGGCATTCGATTGTCAGATAAATCTGTTGTCTTACGGATGTCATGCCTGCGTTTGAAGACACTGGCAGTTGTGTAAGAGTTGTCCATCAGTTTGGCTACTAAGTTTCTAGGAGTAATCCCCCATTTATACACCGCAAGTTAAAGACTCCTGATTTTCCCAATTCGCTTCCAAGCCAACCAGTCGCACTAATTTCCTCGTCAGCTATCTAACTCGAGATCCGTAACTCAGTCCAATGTTTTGCATTGAACTTAGAACTAATTGAGCATTCATAATTTGGAAAGGTTTGTCTTGACACAAGAGCTTCTTAATGCCTTGTTAACTGTTTGATAATTGGCTTGGTTTTTATGACAAATTAGTGTGTTTATAGCTAGAAATAATCAAAACCAGTTAATACCTGTTTAAAGTTTTAATGGAGTGGTACAGGGAGTTTGCAAATATGATCACTGTCTGTTGAGTTGATCGACCTATGTAGGGACATTAGAGAACTGCAAGACACGATGCAGAGTATGCACGTATACAGGATGCAGAAATTTGGAATGGAGAAATAGATTGAATCAGCTAGAAATAACAATAAAATACCGCTATGCACATAATAATACTCGGAGCAAACTGGCCTGGTAACGGAGTTCATACAGTCTAGCCGCTGTCTGATGGTAATGATCTTATTGCATCGCTTCTGCTCAGTTACCTCTTCAAGTGTAGTTCACCTACATTTAACCACTTTGAATGAATTCCCTTATTAATCTACCAGTTCCATGACTGAAAGTGCTGAGGGAACCGATCCAGTGACTGCAGGACTGGTTCAAATGTCGTTCCTTGTCGTGCCCATGGAATCTATGGCTCGCCCAGTTAGCTATAGTTTGAATATTACACATCAAGAAAGCGAACCCGATTTTCTGCTCGATCCGTTACCCCTAGGTGCTAATCCTTCTATCTGGTGATCACAACTTTTTCTAGCGATTATCATTTGGTCTTCTCTTTATTCCCTTTTTATCCATTTAATTTATCAAGATAGATGCATAGCTAATGATAATTGGCGTCATCACACTCAGCGTTCAGATCTTGGTGGCTCAAATGACTGACTGGTTGATCGGCTCGATTGATTTGAACTTCAGCTTCGCTCTTCGTGACGATTCCCTCAATGGGTTTCCATAAATTAAATTTGGGAGGCAATTTTTCTGATTCCCTCATTTTTCCAACTCGCTGCTCCATCATCATGATCTGTTTACTTTCAGCATTAAGCATCTACTCTTTACTCGCAGGCCCCTTACCTCCGGTAAGATAGATATTCCTTCTCATGGTTCGGAGGTTATCACCTTTTACTTATTCGTCATTCCTAGTGACTGAGGATGGGAGTGTCTTTCTCTCTAAATCAGCTTTTGATTGAGTAAATGAGTATCTTTCCTTCGCTTCCGTTTCATCTTGTCAGCTGTTCTAAACCTTGATGCAAAAATTTCTTGCTGTTGACTCCTAGGTATCCGTTGTACCCGGAGTCCTCAGCTAGTGACTATCTTCTAAGCCGACTAATACTTGAAACTAACTGCTTTTTTCTAATCTTCCAATTAATTGTTAACATTCAGCGACCACTATATGTAGCTCATCTCCAGCGTATTGCACGATATTCAAGCAGTTATTCCACGGGTCAGGCGTCTGTCGCACCGATGAATTTCCTGCTAGTGGCGCTTTTTGCGTCGCACCAGCAGCCCCACGAGCAATCGTAACCAGTAAAGTTCACCGGAGAACTCAGACGAGTAGCCCGATAGAATGAATTACCATTATCACCACTCATATTGCATGTGCAGATCTGCATTCATAATGGGAATCACCTGTTGTTGCGCACAATTGATGTCACTTTGTTTAGATACCTTAGCGACCAGCTTGCTCTACTAGTGTTTATTGTTTTTTGATCTTTCGATTATACTTACAAATAATTTTGGCATCGTATCTTGTATTTTCCATCCGTTTCTGCATTCTCCATTACGTGAATGCATCAGCTGCACATTTTACTGCATTTACAGGGATTTTTGAGTGTTAACCGATATTGGCCAGCTTTACAATCCTATACACATTTTACTAGAGTGCGTTTTAATAAAATGGGTACTCATCAGGAGTGAATTTTTTAATATGCTCTTTTACTTTGTTTTCCCTATGTCGCTTAACACTTGTGTCTGCATGATAGCTTCGCGGTGTAACATATCTTTCAGGCATATTCTTAATACCCCAGTATCCGAACAAGAATTCTTGGAGCATCTACATGAACTGGACCACAAAATCAACTTCTCATTGGGACAGTCTATATCCGAGTACAAATCTTTGGAGGATGTCAGTACACTGTTGAAAAATCTGAAAATCAAAGCAAGTGCATTTACTATTATTTCACATTGGATTTAACGGAATTGCGCGTGGCCTCTTCGTTATCCCCTCTGGACACCCTCATCATAAGTCCGACTGTTTTTCAAGATAGTTTGAATCTCTGTATTAATCAATGAGCCGTTCGCCTTATTGCAGTATAACCATCGACTGCTTCATTTACCGTCCTGTATTCTTCTCTGGCGCTAATCGTTTCTTGCGACCAACAGATTTGCTTCTATAGGGATCCACATTTAGTTTTTGAATATGGTTGGCGGATGGGAGCCACGTTTCATCAACGGAGCCGGCCCACACTCCTTCACAGACAAACGCAAGCACGCTGTATTTGGGAAATCAATCGCACTCTCCGTTACACCTTTGTCGACTCCTTACTCCACCCATCGGGCCGCCAGACCAGCCGTAGTATATTCCTATTCGGAATACTTTGATGACGCAACATCATTGTTTAAGATGGGATCCATACTAAGCGATGTGGCTCTATTGTCGCTGTTGACCGGTGGCGGTGTGGTTCAGACCTCTGGCTCCTTATTTACGACTTGCCATTTCGAGCTGGCGTCGTTACGACCACATCGCAGCATCTCAGATACCTTGCATAGCAGCGAAGCGTTGATGCGAGGATTCCATATAATACCGATCCCTTTTCCCAACATCTACACTAAGACGTAGTGCAACGTTTACTGTGTGGAGCTCTTCGTCTTGTAGGCCCTACCTTTGACTATATCGTAGTACGCGTTTGAGCATCTTAAGGTTTCAGGGTTGAGTACACGTAATGACTTAGTCCGTGCGGTAATGTTCGTTACTCGATTTGCTGCTGAACTAAATCCGATCCGTTTGACTTGAATTTTTGTTTCTGCATGATCGATGCATTGCACCATTTTCAGGCCATCACTAAGATACGCGAATACCTACTGCAGAAGATATATTCATTACGAAGGCCTCTGACAAATTACCAAATACCTCAGAATCAATTGCTAAAGTATCGGTAAGCTTCACCCCTGTTTATTGTGTCTATCGTGTGATTCCTGAGTTTCATGGGACAAATGAGATGTTAAATTGTTTCCCGTTTCTTCCTTTTTCCTTCACTTTGTCATCGAAGAGCCATAAATGATTTTGTTGGATGATTGACTGACGGACTCGTGGTAGACGGACGACGTATCTCTCCTTATTTCTTTACAAGCGCTATGTGCCTTGGTATGTTTTTCCCACCTTTAAAGTGCAAAGCGTTGTTACAGGACCAGCTGATACGCCATAGGCTCTATTTGCCACCGAACAGCCACTGGAATGGTCAATCGGTTCGACTATCTTTTTAGCCCTACTGCCTCTGCTAGTTGCACAACTGAGAAATTTTGTGCTGTCTGTCATCAGTCTCATATAAGTACCTAGATAGTTATGGCAGCGTGCGCGGTGTTTCTTTTGGACCGGTGGTATTGATCAAACGATTGATCACTTTGCACTTTAGACGTCGTCCTTAGTCACTAGTTCTCGCGTAGTATTTCCCAGACCTAATTGGTGGAAAGTCCATCAGTTATTTAGCTAATAACTTTATGGCGTCACACTAGTTTGTCTGGCGCACTGGAACCGGCCACACTGAATATCTCGTCTTTCGTGTGCCTTCATTGCAGACATTATTTTTTTGTCGCTGCAGCTAGTCAAACGAGACAACAAAGCAGTTAGTTTATTATGTGGCGAAAATGCACAGCAGCCTTTACTGGTTGGTAGCGCCTTTCGACCCCGCTCAGTCTTGAGACAAATGACGCCCCTGCATTCTGCTTCTTGTGTGTCTGTGGGTCTTTCATCGGCTTTGTTCTTCTTCCATTCTCTTATTTTCACTTGCTTTCTACCTCATACCCAACCACCGTTACGGGTTGTTATCATTGCGGTGCGGATTCTGACAACGGAATCCACCGTACCTCGGCGCTCAGCTCATAGTGTTTTCTTTGAATGTAACCACAATTACTTTTCAGCTTTGATCCTAATGTTTATGTATAGAAGAGAATGGCAATGCTTACTACTTGGAACACTCCTTTTGTTCTCTTGAATCACATCCCACTGCATTATGCTGGCCAGCGGATTTTTCTATTTAAAAGTTGGAGCGCCATCTTATGGAGCACGATCGAGTTGACAAAATGTATTAGCATACATGAAGATGAATGTTATGAGACCTTCAAATTTTTGTTTGTTATGAACTGACCACAAGCTGCTGTCTTTTTGAGCTACGGTATCGCTGGAGGTTCATCTTTCAACGTTACCAAACGGTTTCGGAGTTGACCTACGTACGGAAATATGTTCCCGATGCTTTAAATATCTCAAGTAATGTGTTGTACTTGTGGGGATTCTCTGACTGAATTGGATGGAGGGCTCTAACGTCGTGAAAGTCTTCACGTTTTTTTGTACGGTTCGGATTTTTCTACTAGTCTCTGTGTCATCTGATACTTTATTCTGACTGATTTCCTTGATTTCTTTGAGTTAACTGGACGTACCATTTGGATACATTTCCACATAGCCAACTTCTGGATTGTGTCGATTTGGTTTGAGCGTCTACTACTTAGGTTCTCGATGAATTTGACTTTGCCCATTACTTCATACTATGTTTGCTAATGATTTTTCCACCCTTTTCCTACAGCTTTTACAACGAATTTTTGCTAGCTCATGATCGTGAGACTGCCCGCGAAATACTCACTGAGTACGTGAACACCATGAGCAAAGTGTATTATTCTTACTTCAAGGCATATTGCGCCAAACTGAACAAGGTGCAGGTAGGTTGTTCTACTTTGCATGCTATTTAATTGCGTCTTACCAGTCGCGGGTTTTAAATATTAGTGTGCATAGCAAGTAAAGCGGCATTTCTTTATCGATCGGTTGTTTCACTTATACTTGCCAGTTATCCATTACCGTATCACCGTTTTTTCATCTTCTGACGAACTTTATCTTTCTCGGTTCACTCCTATTACAGTTGTTGGTCATTCTGTTAATGAATAAATGTATAAATGGTGTATTTCTTGGTAGTGCGAGACACAGACTGATTACGTGGTCTGACCATTTGATGCTACATAATCTAATGGTATAGGAACTTCTTCGAGTTTTCCGATGTAGTTCCCCAAGGAGGTTTTGGGGTGTTCTAACACTTAAAGTAGCAAATGGACGGATCGGTAGAGTGTGCGTTGTTTGGGCGCCGGGGCTCTGGATGGACGAAGAGGAGGGGAGGCCAAGTGATGCATCTAATTCTTGAGGTGACATCACCCTTTATGTCGGGGTATGACGGTTGCCCGCTTCCAACGATTAAGGTAGACGCGTCTTAATTGACAGCAGGAACAGTGGGATATCGACCTGCCATGTTTGAACAATACTGATACTATGCCATCGGGCTCAGGGTGCAACGGATGCTTTAGAGCTGTTATTTGTTTGCGAATGTTATGCATATTGAACTCAACTACATCTATTTTTTCATTAGTATGAGGAGGCAGGAGTTACTACCGCTGGATGCAAATGATGTTGACAAATTCCGGTTTTGAGATGCCACTACACCGGGGTAGATGTTTTGTGAACCTGGCGATTACATTGAGCTCCTTACTCACGGACTAGGAGAATTTACAAGAGAGCAGTAGTTCCAGTAGTAGAACACATACAGTGTTAACACGCTGGATCAGGAAATGTGACACGTGAGAAGAAGTGTTACGTGTAACATACAGTGCGAATCTCCTAATGTTGCGGAATCTTTCCTTCACACGTAGGGACCACGCAAGTACTTTTCCTTTTCACTCCCATGTATTTAAATAACGTAGCAGCGGACAAATCTTCACAAAAAATGGAAAGTTATGGGCACTGCGTCAGTATTTACTGGCAGCGATTCCCTTCGAATAGCGAAGAAAGTACATCTTTGCATTTTGCGGTGTCCAACGTTAGGCAACGCGATTTGGACCAATCTGTAAGGTTGTCTAGGAAGATTTGTTGTTTAGCCGACTACTGCTTGAATGATGGACGCCAGGGATTACGTCGTCCGCATACTTCGGCAAGATGGCTTCTTCAGGGATGGGGATTGAGGTAACTTGAGTGAAAATAGGAATGAGACGAGGATGGCTCCTTGAAGAATACCAAAATTCGTGGTGAGTGAAGAAGAAGTTTCCCTTTAAATTGTAAAATAATCTTTCAACAGAAGAACTACTGAAGTTTGAACTCCACAACCTGGTAGGTAGGGTAACTGCTGTTCACGGTTCACACAACCGAAAGTGTTACTAAAATCCAGGAAGCAGATGCGGATGGATTAGTTTTCATTATCCAGTGACGAGAGCGCTGTATGTAACAAGCATGTTACCGCATCTAAAGTGGACATTGAGTTGCCATATGCAACCTGATGGAGGTCATCCAAATGCGTCTGGGCTGAACTATTTTAAAGAATAATCCTCTCAAAGGTCTGCAAAGCAACCGACGTGCAGTCGATTGACCGATATTTGCAACTTCGCATCGGCGTGATACTTGCACTTCGCCAGCCGTCAACTATTTTGGGTTGCTTGAAGCACAATGTGTGTACAAGTCGGCGAGAGGCTGTGCCAGGTACTCTGCACACTCTTTGAGAACGACAGGGAACAACTCATACGGACCAAGTGGTTTGTTCAATTGCAACCTGACCAATTGCCTGTGCACTTCTTTGCTGTTTACAGGTGGCTTATTTGAGAGTAACACTGACTCGGCATAAGATATATCAAAAATTGAGGTTTTGTTCTACAAAATCCGGACTTAAATGTGTGATCTCGCAAGTGACTGCACTTAAATGCTTCAACATTTTCCATATTTCTCGGTACCTATTGTTTCCAAGTACGGTTTGAACGTAGCTATGGTTGAAGCTGTGCAATTCGATTTTTATATCAATCTGTCGAGACATTAACGATGAAATATCTCTATGTTTAAAAGCCTTTTCTTTTAGACCACACAGTCGTTGGCACGATTATCTATCGGCACAGGTGAACATTGTTTCATTTGGACAACAAGTGTCGAAGCGGATGTTTAAGTAACTAGTTCACTGATCACAATACTTCGATAAGTCCGCATCCTAAAATAGACTGCAATCTGTGGAAGCAATGTTTTCACACAGTTGCTGAATGTTCTGAGGAGGGCATTGTCTTTGTCTGAGGCAAATAAATGCGATCACCAAAAAAGCGATAGGAGTTTTTTCTACCTGTACCCAGCCGGAGTGCTCGAAGCTGCCTAACGATGGAGCTTCCAATCTATTCGCCTCCAAAGCACCGTTAAGATAGACTGCGCAACCGCCAGCTTGGCCACTGAGACGACTGCAAATTCTATGAAGCTGGGAACAAGTAGCTCTATCTGCTGCGAACGGAACCATGTCTCCGTTACGACGCAGCACGTAGATGAGAGAAGAATAATAAAGGCCTAAACTGATGCACCTTGTTTGCCAACAATCAAGCATTCGTTGGAAGATGCTTGACTACATCATCTTAGCATAGAAAGCTTACTGCCTGTGACATCAGTCTGCAGGGAGACCAGTTCTCGCACAATTTGGCTGTTCTCATTCCTCACTATATCAGAGTGTCCATGGGATATTATGCTGCCGTATATGGTACGATTTACAGTAACCGTAGTGCAGGCTGATTGAGCAGAGTCTGTTGGTGCGTGGTCGGAGTGGGAACAAGACTCACTATGCATGAGTAGGGAGGGTCGTTGCAGTGTATGGGGCTTGAGGAACAATGCAATTTGCTGCATACCCGACAACTGGTTGTTTTGAATCTAGTTGGGAGGAGGTAAGAAGGATGTCGGCTGAGGCGATGTGTTCCGAAAAAACGCAAATACAAGTTTGACGCATGGTTTTAGCTCTTCTCTAAAGTTCGACTACATAATTACGTCGATACACAAAAGATGGTGCCGGTTGCGAGAGAGAAATCCCGTGAGGAGTACGATCTTGCCACTATAGTCAACAACATGGCAAAGGCGAGCATCTATGCCTAAGGCTAACGAGAGGCGGGAGTAGGAGTGGATGCGCCAACAACAGCAATACATCAACCATTTGCACTGATTATTCCTTATCGTAAAACCGCAGTGACCTAAGGAACGAAGAATAATAACGGAGACAAGAGTGACCTAGCGTAACACTTATATGCCCTAGGCATACATTCCAGGTCAAGGCGTCTACATCTTATCAACAACATATCATCACAAACAGCTAGCTATCGTAGAAAGATAAGGCAATATCAGCGAGACAGCTTTCTTGAGTCTTTCACTGCCCATGGTCATAACCAGCCATTACGTCGCAGGTATCTCAGCGTCAGAAACACTTTAAACAGGAAATATGACTACGTTACGACAGCTAACGCGGCACTGGTGTCTACTGCGAGCCATATCCTTCAGTATCTGGAGTCAAGCACAATGCGGGTCACCTGGACTTACAGCCTGCAAGGCGAGACGGACCAACAGCTCCGTTTTGTAATCAGTGACTTCATTTCTCTCTGCCAAGTTAACTTTTGCCCACCTTGAGCCTTGCGTCAGCCTACATCTGACAAATAGAACCAATCCATCCTCTATCAACGGTGACTGGGATACGTAGTACGTGCCCAAGTCAACGCAACTTATTCGGAGCTATCTGTCGTTAAAAAAACTGGCTTGATTATCAATGCCTAGTACTCGCCTGCGCACATCATCGTGCGGACTCGTTGGATCCGTCCGACAATAGCAGTGCATCGCACGCATCGATAATCAAAGACTTGAACTCCCTTAAATCGAAAGGGGCAAGTCTCACTCCTATATAGTAGGACGGCCCACATTGTAGCCTTGGAACGCGGTTTTTCGGACTGAGGGAAACCCTCCTCTGATGTCACAGATGTCGCAAATTTAAGAAGACAGTTCTAGCTTTTGCAATGCGTGAACTGACTTCAGTGGTTATGCACCCATCGTTGCTGATGCAGCTTCCAAGGTTAGTTACTTGATCAAATGCCTCTAGTTCCTTGTTATCAAGAGTCGAGAGGTCGTCAAGTTGCTAGTGGTCTTGAACAGCACCTTAGGCTTTGAATTTGTGAAACGCATGCCGAATGATGAGAGCACTCTAAAGAGTTTATTTCGGGTCCATTTGCCCGTCCCAACATCGTTACTTATCAAAACAATATCGTCCACATATTTGAGATCGACTGGCTTTCCCCCAGGCAGCACCAAAACGCCTGCATTGTGAGATTTCCCAATGGAACCCTCCATGATGCAGTCCACGACGAAATTAACACAAATGGGGAAATTGGACACCCTGCCCAACGCCACTTGTTGTCGGAATGATATCTATCTGGTCATCTTGGACCCTGACGCAGGCTATGGTGTTCGAGTACTGAACACGTAAAATGTTCACATATTTCATTGGAACACTTCTGCGCGTTCTTCTAACAGAATGGATCGATTGACTGAGTAGAATGCACTCTTGAAATCCTGGAATACGGCTATTTTCAGTCGGCGGCACGTGTGTCAGTGATCTAGCACCGGCCTCAGAGTGTAGATATGGCCTATCCAGCTCTGTCCTAGGCGGAAACCTGCCTACTCTTCCGTAAACTGGGATTCCCCTTCTGCAGTGAGGCGATACACGAGAATTGAGGCCAGTAATTTTCTGAAAACCGTTGTTAGGCTAATACACCCATGCGTAACACAGTCGGTGTGACTGCCCTTCTTATATATTGCCACTATGATCGATTCACTCCAGTGGACTGGTGTGGTCTCTTCCTTCCAGACCTGTTCAAACAATGGGGTCAGTGGTTTGTTGAGGACCTCACCACCCTCCTTAAATGGTGCTGGTGCGAGGGAATCCGGACCAGCAGCTCGAAGCGCTGACAAGCTGTGATCGCGTTTCGGATTTCAGCCTCTGATGGAGCCTGTAAACTAACCGGTCATGGCTTAACTTGCACCATCTGTTTGAGAAAATTTTCGCAACCTGGTAGCCATCTGAACTCCTGTAAGACCTCCGGCCAACAAGGCATGCGGCGCTCCTTCTTGTGAGCCGTGGCACCCACACTGTCTGTGACTGTCTCGCTGACAGGTTGTTTCTTGGGACCGGTGGTGCGCATTATTTGGAAGTGTTTACGATGATTGCTTACTGCTGCTGCCTCCTCCACTTCTTGGGCCCTGTTGGTTTATCAGGCTTCCTTGTTAGCACATCGGATTTGCTTCAGTTCGCGTCTAATAGCCTGTTTGCTTACATTATGCTCAGAGGTAGCCCGATGGGTTGCTACGGGTTCACAGACCTCTCGGATATCCATTGACTGTTGCGGTGACCATTGATAGTGCCTCAAGCAGAGGCTTCTGCGTCATGCATGGTAGCCGATTTCCTATTCCACCGAAACCCAATGTCGTTAAGAGAAGCGAGCGAAAGTTCGGTACGCAATGCATCCTCGTAGGTTTGCCTGCCCGGGGACTGAGATAGCTTCTCAGTCGCCAATCGATGGAGGCGCTTGATACGCCTACTGATAAAGTTCATGAAAAAACGACAGCGTACCAAGACATGATCTTGGTCGACGAGCGTCAATCCAGGATGGAACCACGCTACTTGTAACTTGTGACAAGGGGATCTGTTTGGGTCCATTGTTGGCCAGCTATAGGTGGACATCAAGTAGTACTTCGGCGTCCACTGTGTCTAAAAGCGGTGCTACTAACATACATCCGGTGCTACCGCACCAGTTTCAAGAGACGCTGGCCGTTGCCCATGCGGTCCGAGTTACTCCCATACTTACCACCTAGCTGAGCTTCTGAAGAGTTCAGACGACCTACTTGCGCATTCACATCTTCCGCAGTAAGAACGATAACTGAACTGGTAACATTGCTTAACAGTGTGTGCAGTTTGTGGTAGTAGGTATCCTTGATAGCATAAGGGCTGCAGTCGGTGGAAGCATAACCGGAAACCACGAACAAACGGCATCTGAAGCTCCTTCGTGAATCGACCTTAGTTGAAGTCGTCAGACGAGCTACACACAAGTGACTGCTCACGCGAATCCAATCGAGCAACGATGACTCGGCCCTGTAGCTGAGAATGATGCCCATCCTAACTTGTCCAGCGATTGCTGCATCAGCGTCTCCGGATGCGTGCAACCAATGGGGAGAGAACATGCCGGGCGCCGTTATTTCAACAACCTCGCGATGATCATTGATTCCTAGTTTCGGACACACAACTTGTCAATACCCAGTGTGTCCAACGTGTGTACAATCTGTTTGCCTTTGAGTGTGAACGATGTACGCCCCAATGGGGCTGGATAGCGTGGCTTTATAGGAGGCTGTTGCCAATAGGCCTGCAGTGGATGGTGCGGGAAGATACTTGTAAATGCTATCACTCCAGTGGCATCATTTAAGCTTGGAACTGTGGAACGGGCTCAGCAAGAGGTACCTGGAACGGAACCAATGGAAACTCCAGTAGTGATATGTTTTTCGCTTATCTGTTTTGCTGTATGCAGCAGTTAAAGCGACACTTGATAAGCTGCGCTACTGTCGATGCAAGAAGTGCTTGTAATTTAAGGAAACAGTCAAGATTCTACTTGTGCTAATATACTGCCCGGACGCTCAGCTCTAGACCGGTGTAGGACCCGGACTCTCAACCAAAGCCCTTGACTTAGAAGCCTGTCAACAGGATAGCCTGAAGGTGGCGGTTATTTGTTTCTACGACAATGGACGTCATCTTATTTGCAATCCCCAACCTGGAGGACCAGGGGACTTTGTTAGCCTGACCTCTACCCGTTGACCAACCTGGTAGGTGTAGCTATCAAGGGTCCAGGGCACCACTCAATATTGCGCTGTGTCGAAGAGATACGCAAACCGTCGCATCTTGTAAATGTCCAGTCTCTTTGCGGCAGGTTGAACGCGACATGATTTCGGGGATGAAATATCTTTGTGCGAATTGAGATACCTCAAATCTTGGGAGAGGCGCATCGACCATTTTTCACTGAACCTTTAGGTCGACGTCCTGCGGCCTTTACATGGTCGTTGTACGTGTCTTTAACTGATAACCCTGAATGTAACCATTTATTGCATCCTTCCCCTTAAATCTATATCTTGCTCTAACAGCATTTACCTTATTCTTTTGGCATGTAGGGCTTAGCGAGTGGTTGGCCGTTCATTTCTCTATCCTTCTGGGAAGCATGCGGCGTGTGTGTAAAGTTGATATGGTTTGCTTCTATCATACTGTTGAATCAATACTACCCAATGGTCCACTAGATTGGTTCTGAGATATGAGTCCTAGAGGAGAGGATGCTTGTGTGTTGACAACACTGCTATGATGAGGCTGGAGTCGATTACTGATGTTCTTTATGTAAAATCCCATTCATGCGACTAAATGCTTGTCGTCAAACAGCTGTAAACCGAGAATGCGTTTGTTTGGTTATGTGCATATAAAATCTAGCTTGCTGATCATAGTGCTTAAGGTAGATTGATCGGTTGAGCACATCCTGACGCTGGACGTGTGTATCATCTTGGGCAATCTGCTGACTAAGTGCGGTTGTAGACCGCATGTGGCGCAAAAATTGTTTTCTGCCACAACAACTGGGATATTCAAGGTTAGAACATTGTGAATAACATTGAGGTCCAGAGTTCTTGTGTAACCCATTTGGGTGGTAGCTCCCACGCGTGTTCTTGATCTCTTACTTGCTTCGCAATTGTTGGCGCTTGCATACGTCCAACTTATCGTGAGCATGCATTATCGACTCCCTTACGCGATAAGATCTCGGTCTATGATATCTGATGATGCATTTCCACCGATTTTCTTTGTGTCATTTTCATCTTTTCGAAGTATAACCGACCATCACTATTACCATTCTCTTGATCATTCGACGAAGTGTTTAAAGCAACGTTGCAACTGCGCAAACGCATTTTACAATTTTTCCTTCGTCAACTATAGCAGATTTCGGCTGGCGGATGTGTTTTGCCGGAAGCTTTTAATTCGTTTGTGTAGCTGCTACTGTTGATGTATCGCTAGGAATACTTACTATACTAGACGAAGGTGAGTAATTGGTTTCAACGGTAGGTAGTCTGGCTATCTCATTGTCAGGTTCAACGTTGTTGTGGAGCCCATTGTTGGTTTCTGGCTGCATGGTAGCAGTATCTAACGCACAGGCAAGACTGCTGTTGAGTGGCGCTTCTCAGTGTCATTAAGAAACTGTCTTCGTCAGAGTTCTTTTTGTAAAGCCGTTTATTCTGCAACAATTTTCAGGGAATTAAATGTGGTTTTATCATAAATTTGGTCCCGTTTCCCGATAAACTTATGTTTGTCTGTGTTACTGGCGAGTATATGTCTTATATGTTTGTGTTTCCCGCGAAGGTGAAAACCATTGGGGCACTTTGAGATGCAACTCCAGATATTAAATGCTAAGGTTGCATATTAAAACAGTCATAGTAGGGCACTTTAAAATTATAATGCACTGTTTCAGTTACAATAAGCGATACCAACCAACCGGTTTTATTTCCGCTCTGTGTCGTTGCTGGCCTAAATGTTCGAATCTCTCTATATGAATACTCACTGAACTGGACTTTGGTGCTCGGCATGCTCTCCAAGACTAGCACAGCTCTTTACCAGCCTCTTGTTAATTAGACTGGCCAAACCGTGCGGAATCTGGAATCTTCCCATTCATTTTTTCCCTTTTTTCAAAGCTGGATACGACATCAGAAAAAGACATTTTGCTTGGCAAACGGTTCGAAGAACAAGGCTCTTATGGTAGTGGGAGTTCAGTCATATCGACGATGAGCTTCCCGACCTCAAGCTCCACGAACTCCAGTCCGTCTGCAGGCGCTGTGCGCGTTGGCATCTTCGCCTTGGGTGATCGTGCAACTCGAGTGCTTAGCAAGTCAGGTTTGGAAGCTCCGATTATTCTTCCCCATGTTGCAGTTAAGGGTGATGTGAAGGTTAGTCTAGCTCTGGAGTGAAGTGCTATCCGCTCACTATGTCCAACCTGCTTTTCTCCTTAAATTCAGGTTTTGCGTTTACACTTTTTCGTCTTCGCCTTGGCCATCACCCCTGCGTGTTGTTCTGCTCCTTGTTAAGATACATCTCTACTGCGATATAGGATCACAAATTAGGACTTTTTTCTTAACCATTCAGGATTCAGCTCATGGCGAAATGCGGAAAAATAGGTTCTTTGGGCAACTTCTTTGTAGGCTATCTGTTGAACATAATTGGCTCTAGCCATCTTCATTACTTATCTTCTGCATAGCGTCATAGCAGCTGTAGATGTTCTACAGCTCCAGCGATCTGTTTTGTTGCGTGCAAATGTGTGGATATTACTCTACTCCGTTTTCCTCCGGAATACAAATCTCTGGGCCGGTGCTCAGAGTGGATCCTGGTGAATTGACAGTATCTATCTCGTATTTCTGATGGAAAATGAGGATTCACATACGACGAGGAACAATGGGGAATGGTTTGTTAGCTATGCACCCCAATGACTTGTCAGCGGAAATATTAGTCTTGCGGCCGAGCATACAGTTGTTAAAGCATTTTACGGCATACACAGATGTAGGCATCTCTTTTTCAGTTCAAACTCAGTGACGTTCAGCCTCCGCCAATGTCTAACTGCGAAAACCAGTAGGCCTTTTGCCCTGCATGAGTGCACCTTTGAGACAGTAACAACGGCTGTCCCACCGAACCTCTAGTGAGAGAAAACGATCATAAAAGGCAGGCCAGCGCGTTTGCACTCAACTTCTTGAACTTAATAGATTTCCTTTGTTCTTCACCCTAATGTCAACTTTCTCTCATGTGGGTCAGTTTTCGAATTATTATAATCACTTCAGCCAACCTGGGTATGAAACGGCCGAGTCTGCTTACAGACCTCAAGTCAGCGTGCGGAGGCATTTTGTTTATGGCTCTGATTTCCTTTGGATACAATTTTGATTCTTCCAACCTCAGCACGCGTTCATGAAACACCATATCCGTTTTGCTCATTGCCATTATGTTACGCTTCCGTTTGCCACGATGCGGCAGCCTGGGAAGAATTACCGTCATGCTTCTCCTGAACGGCACTGACGACTAACTCGCCATCGCTGAACAAAATGCTCCGAGTAGATCAACCAGTGCTTGCTTTAGCCGTTTCTGAAACATCTCATTAGGTACATACAAGTCAGAAGGCAAGAAAAGCCATTAAGAGCACACTAAATGTTGCTAAAGATGTGGTTACACAGCATTGGTGGATTGTTATGTGCCAGAAAGCCATCGTGAATATGATGGGCCCCGGGTTAACACCGGTCGCATATTGTCTAGTGTCAATAGCGTGTTATATTCACTTCTGAGCGCGTCATTAAACTGTATCGGATCGCATACAGGCAAATCACCAGATTTCTTAGTGACGTTAGATCACCATCCATACACAATAGCTGCGAGAAACACACCTTAGCTAATGGGTCGTGATGCAACTATCAAACGTTACGCACCAGAAAACTACAACCAAGTAATATAATGCTAAATATCGTATTAATCATCAGGTATGAGATCTTGGTTGGAGTGGAAGGGGTGGGCCAAGGAAGCTCATAACTCAAACGCCATTGAACTCGGCTCCTCTCCATGTCAAGAAGTGTATCCATCCAAACGTGTTCATCGGTCTTCGGACATCAGTCCAGCGGTCGAGAAACACCAACCGACGCCAATTTCGATGTGCAAGTTTTCATTTTTCATGACCAACTCATCGCTTGCCATCTCGTGCAGCCATACACCGCAAACACTGCATGTCGTTGCGAGTAGGTGTGCTGGCAAACACAATGCGTGGACCGGCCATCGGAGCCTGGCACGTGATATAATGATGCTAGACGGTTCACTCACCATTGCTGCACTAAGTACACGGAGAAGAACGCGCTCAATGCTCATGCGATGCTCTCACTAGACATGAGCTAAGCTGCCAAGGCAGCGATGGTCGAACAAAACTAGCCTCTTGAAGTCTGTCGAATTGATCCACCAGGTTTCGCAGCCGTACGGGTGGGTTGAATATATGGGTGCATTGTAAACTCTGCTCATCAGGGCGAGAGTGATTTCGCATCGGCGCCGGTAGTAGTGAAGATTGGAAAAAGCACCTCGAGCTTCTGCTATAAGGTTCATGATCTCATCCTCGATCCCCAGGGCACCAATATTTCTGCCCACGTACTTGGATTCACGGACAACTTCTAGCTAATGCACACCGAGGGTCATCGCAGAGGTGGGCCCCTAAAAATCTTGGATAAGGAATTCGAGAGAGCAAAGCAAAGCCAAAAGGATTGACAGCCAGTGCTAATCTGTTCAGTACTGGTTCGCACGTTCTGAGGCTATCACAGTTTGGGGCGATGTCGCTAGCATACTCCGAGTCAAGAATTCGTTCAGCGGGAAGCAGCTTCACGCCTTGTAGTTCTTGTCCAGCGGACACCGTTTCCATGACTACGTCAATGACGAATATGAAGAGTAAAGGTGGTAGCGGGCAATCTTGTCTCACCAAGCTGGAGATATTGAATGGCGTTGACAGTTCGTCACTAACCCTCAGTTCGAACTATGCGCGTACAGTGCTCTGTTGATGTTTCCGTATTTATGGGACATTCCTTTCCTTAGTAGACAGTCTTAAAGGGTACAACGATTCACCGATTTGAAGACACTGTTGATGTCGAGGAACACGACTGCGGTGGTTTGCCAATAAAATATAGCGGCGCTCCAATAGTTGACGAAAAGCAAAGCTGTGATCGATGCAGCCTCGAATTCGGCAAAACCCGGATTGCTGCTTACGAATCTGACTTTATTGACAGCCAGACAGTCTGCGGGGAACTTCAGACGTAAGCAATTTGGATGCAGTTGTGATCATACTGACTTCTCTAAGATTGTCGCATTCCGAACGTTACCTTTTTGTAAACTGGGACTATGAAGGAGCGGCCTCACACTTTTGAGAAAGTCTTTTGTTCTCACAGCCCCACTAGTGGAATGTGCAAATCATCCACGAGAGCAGATCCTCCGAATTTGAAGAGGACTGGAGGAAATCTATCTGCTCCTTCCACCTCATTCACATTTAACAGTTTGATCTCACGTCCGACTTCTGCGCGTGTTGGCGGACCCATAGAGACGGCCCAGGGAGAATGGCAATGGGATACGGTAAACCGTATCAAACGAAATAAATTCCAATGGTTACCAACGGCATCAGCCATTTTCCATCTCCGATGCACGTTGAGACGACCTAGCTTCGCGCTCTCTTCAGGCTAGCACGGTTTTGCCATATGATCTTTGTGAGTCTGGTTGTGCTCGCTCCCAGCCGGAATACGTAGGCGAGCAACGACAAGTTCCAGGGACTGTGTAGGGACCCAATGTCCAGATTCGCAATTCGGTTTGCAAGAAGAAGACATGCGTACTTCTGGCGATTATGCGACTAGCGATTTTCAGTAGTTTTCAGTGGAGCTTTACTCAGCCCATATTCCAGCGTACTTCAATACCTATTCAGAACACCTGGCTTCTTCAGTTTGCAGGTGTCTACGCGCTGACAGCGACGTTGCGGACGTCAGCCGAAATGCACTCGGTCGGCACACGCAAGAGCGTGATCGCAGTCCAAACTGGTGCTCCGAATTTAACGACAGTTTTGGACGTAGACTCTTCAGCGGTAACTGATTGCGATGTGATCAGTTTGCGTCTATGGCTAGCCATAAGCTGGTGGGCGCCAAGTCACCCTACTGCGGGTACTATGTCGAATGTTAGTGCTCGCGAGAAATAGACGCACATCTTCCCGTAGGTGTAACCGTTTACGGGAGCCTACACCATATTGGGCCCTCAGATGAAGCTCATCAGAGAACAGTTTTCTGACTTGGGCGTTCATATCACCAGCAACCCCCACAGTATCTGCACTTTTTCCGTGATGTGGGAGATTGTTAAGTCGGTGATAGAAATCATCTACCAAAGAAATAAGTGCTACAGTTTGTGAAGGCGTTTGCTGCAATGACCAACATTCACCATTTGTCTTCGCGCGACTTCAACTCTTTGAACAAGCCAGCCCATCTGACGGCGCACATCTAGCTGTTTATTCGAATTCAGTCAACCGGCGCACATTCAGCCCAAGGAGTCAAAAGGATGCCCACGTCGGCTTGATCGGCATTTGAAGCTGCATCATCTCCAAGTGGGCGCAATAAGAAAGTGCCACTATTGTCGCATTTGGGGGATCGCATGGTAAGCAATGGGTTTGAAACTTGAAAGTGGGTTTCCATAAGCAGTAACGATTGATCGATAGCGGGCATTCACAGCAACGTGCTCTTCCATACACTTCTACTTGAATGTACTCAGTCGTCTTTGTGATTGCGACGCGAGTCGACCCGCACGGATAAAAACGGCCTCGCGTGGACAGCAGGTGTCAGTGCAGAAGTTGTGTTTGGGCGGTAGCTGGTTGCAATACCTACATATAACATTGGCGAAATTGTTCTACTATCTTTGCAATTTCTTTTAACGGGTGTGTGTTTTGAAGTGAAAACTGTCTTCGTATTATTCCGTGATCTATCTTGCGGCAGACAACAGAATATCTTTGGACCTCTGAGTGATCGAATACACAAACCGGTGCCTAATTGTTGTTTAGATTTTACAGCACTTGTTCTCCGATATTTGTGAGATAAGTATCGTCCAAGTTTTTGACATCTCCAACACAAATGTAAAGTGTGGCCAATATTATCACTATCGAAATTAACAAACCGGCCATAAAACTCCGCTGTTTCAGAGCGGGGGGAGGGCGGTCAACTGATGCAAATGTAAATGTAATCCAGTAAAGTTGATTTATGTAGTCGCTTAAACATCTCAACCTGCGTTTCGATATTAATCTGTTAGAACCTTGTGAAGAAAACCGTACCTTTTGTTGACATGCACCACGAGGGATTAATGCACATCAGTCCTGCTTACGGTACGTTCGTGTCAGGTGGACATAATGGCAGACAAA